TTCTTTGCAACTTTCCGCTAAACATATAAAATGATGTGTCTTACCTGGATACTGACTCGCCCCTCGCTTTAGGTGTCCCAGAAATATGGACACCATAAGTGAGGCGCTGCGATGGCTAAGTTCGCTCAATAAAAGTTATCTTCAGTCTATGTTTCCGATCAGATGCTAAACCACTTGCACATACATGCACAATTTAATATTTCTCCATTTTTTATTGTTTCTTTTTGTTAAAAATTACAAAATTAGGTAGCATGAAAATTTTCTAACCAATGTCGCGAAGAAAATTTGTACTTGTTTTTTTTTATTTATTTATACCTACTTTTAATCTTAATATTATTTTTATTTTATAAGTATTATATTATTTAAATATATTATGATGAATACTTCCCTAAATGATATTAACTTAGGCTCTAGCTCTTTTGAGACTTGCTCCTCGGGTACTTCAGATGACGGAGATGACAGTTTTCACAGTACTCTCTCTCTCTCTCTAAATTCTTCCTTAGATTCTTGCTTCTTAGATTGTGCTAATAATTTCAATGTAATACACATAAATGCACAGAGCATTCCCGCACACTATCCTGATATGCTGACAAGTTTAAACAACAAAAACATTCATGCAATTCTGGTCTCCGAAACTTGGCTTAAGCCTTGTTTACTATCCATTTCGTATCCAATCCCAGGTTTTCATATGTTGCGTAATGACCGACTCATCAGAACTGGTGGTGGGGTTGCCATATATCTTCGTAGATATTCGTTACTCCAGAGTCAGCATATCGTCCATCTCAATTGTTGAAAGTGCAGCAGAACATCTTTTTATTGAAGTCACACTTTCTTCCTTGAAAGTTCTCTTAGGCGTTGTTTACAGTCCCTCTATCTCTGTTAATTATTTTTCTGCCTTTGAAAAAACTTTGGAAGAATTGATTCCGTCATGTAAACATGTTATCATTATGGGTGACTTCAATACGTGTCTTCTTAAAAATGATGTCCGCTCAAAGAAATTAAAGTCCGTAGTTGACTCATGTAATCTTTACATTTTGCCTTCTAATCCTAACCATTACTTTCCTAATAGTACCCCTTCTCTTCTTGATTTAATAATTGTTTCCTCTCCAGATTATATATTCAAACACGGCCAGTGTAATGCCGATGCTTTTTCTTACCATGATCTGTTGTTTTTGTCTTATAAATTACGATCACCAAAAGTCAAGTCCCGTGTTCTTCTGCTACGTAATTTTGCTAAAATAGACGTAGACTGTCTTAAAAATGATGCTGACAGCATAGACTGGTCGATAATTGATGAGACCATTGACGTTAACGAACAAGTGCGTTTTTTAAATTCCATTTTAATGCAGCTCTACGACAAGCATGCACCTTTACGACCAATTAAACTTAAGCATCCGTCGGCTCCTTGGCTCACAAATGAAATCAAAGACCAAATGTCAAGAAGGAACCTAGCCAAATCCAAATTTAAAAAAGACCCCTGTGATATAAATCGTGAGAAGTACAGGATACTTAGGAATCGCTGCAACACGATGTATAGAGATGCACATCACATTCATAAGACAATTGATGAATCTGATCCTAATAAGGTTTGGAAATTTCTCAAAAGCTTAGGAATTAGTAAGAAGCAAAAGGACTCGCTTCCTCCTGATTTAAACATTGAAATGCTTAATCGGCACTTTTCCTCAAGTTCTAGTCACGTTAACACTTGTAAATCTAGAACCTTAAATCACCATCATTCTTTACCAACTCCCGATTTCTCTGAATTTGTTCTACGTCAGTTGCTGACTGTGACGTTAAAAAAAATATCACAGCTGTAACTTCTAACGCAAATGGTACTGATAATGTCAGCCGAAACATGATTCTCCTGCTATTAGATATCTTGACTCCTATCATAACTAAAATTTTCAACAACTCTATAAATACAGGTACTTTTCCTACATTATGGAAAGATGCGCAAATTATTCCATTACCCATGAAATCTAATTCCAAGTCCTTCTGTGATTTTCGTTCTATTTCCATTTTACCTTTTCTTTCTAAAATTCTTGAGCGTCTTGTTCATCAGCAACTTAGTCTATTTTTGAATCTAAATAGCCTCTTAAATACATTCCAATCAAGTTTTCGCCCTGGCCATAGCACCGTCACTGCTTTGGTTAAAATCACAGACGACATTCGAGCAGGAATGGAGAATCGGCAAGTTACTATTCTTACTTTCTTGATTTTAGCAATGCTTTCAACACAGTCGATTTCGACATACTTCTAGCTGTGCTCCGTTCTATTAACGTATCTCCAGCAGCAACCGACAGGTTTCGTAGTTACTTGTTTGGACGCCGTCAATGCATCCGTATTGAAGACACTTATTCCTCGTGGTGTTCTCTAGATGCAGGCGTACCACAGGGTGGCGTGTTGTCTCCTCTTCTTTTCTCAATTTTCATACGCTCTATTACTTCAAGAATTTCTTCACTCTACCATCTTTATGCAGACGATCTCCAAATATATTCTCAAACAAGTATTGAAAATCTTCCATCCGCCGTGCTATCCATAAATCGTGATCTCACTATTATTTCTGAATTTTGCACATCTTATGGAATCAAGGTTAACCCTAGTAAAACGCAGGTAATAGTGATAGGTGGCAGCAAACTACTACAAAAAATTACATGGCACACGCTGCCCTTTGTTTGTTTTCAGAATTCTGTTATTCCTTATACAGTAATTTGGTTCCGGTTGTAAAAAATCTAGGGGTTCTAATTGACAGTACAATGTCTTGGGCACCTCAAATTCAACAGATAAGCAAAAAAATGTTTGCAGCTTGTAGAAGTCTTAAGAGACTCAGAAATTTCCTGCCCATTTCTACTAAAATTGCGTTAGCACATTCCATTTTGTTACCTATTTTATACTATGCTGACATATGCTACACTGATATTACCATGGAGCATTTAAACAAGCTTGATCGTCTTCAGAATTTATCCATTCGATTCATATTTGGTTTACGCAAATATGATCATGTATCCCAATTTCGAAATCAACTCACGTGGCTCTTTATTCGCCTTCGCCGAAATGTTCATATACTAGGCTGCACTAAAAGTATCGGGAATGTAATATTTCCACTGTTCCTGTCATATTAAAATCTTTTTAATTGAAAACTCCTTGGTTTTAAAAATCGAATACCATTTATTTATTTAAAAAAAGATTCTCGGTCTTGTCACAAGGTTTTGTCAAACTTTTTTAGTCGTTGAGAAAATGGAATTGACTCGAGAAAATTCAAGAGTGAAGATTTATTATGACTTTCGAAGTGGTTTAAAACAAAAACAGTGTGTTGACCGGATGATTTCTGCATTTGGTGATGAAGCCCCATCCAAAACCACAGTTTATCGCTGGTTTGCTGAATTTCAACGTGGACGTGTCAAGCTCAGTGATGATCCCCGTCAAGGTCGTCCAAAAACTACAGTCACCCAAGAAAACGTTGATGCTCTGCGTAAGCTGATTGAGGAAGATCGACATGTGACATACCGCGAAATTCAAGCAACTTTAGACATTGGCATGAGTCAAATACAAATAATCTTGCATGAACAATTAGGTGTAAAAAAGTTGTTTTCCCGATGGATACCGCATTCGCTCTGTGAAGAGCAAAAAGGGGCTCGCGTTACTTGGTGCGTCAGAACTCTCGAAAGATTCCACGCAGGATCCTCAAATGCTGTATACAACATCGTATCAGGTGATGAATCCTGGATATACGCATACGAACCCGAAACAAAAAACCAGTCACGAGTTTGGGTGTTCGAAAATGAGTTAAAGCCAAAAAAAATTGTTCGTTCACGGAGTGTTGCAAAAAAAAATGGTGGCCACGTTTGTCTCCAAAACCGGCCATGTTACGACTATTCCTCTTGAGGGACAAAGAACGGTTAATGCAGAGTGGTATGCTAGCATTTGTTTGCCACAGGTCGTTTCTCAACTCCGTAAAGAGAACTGCTACCGCCGCATCATCCTCCATCACGACAATGCGAGTTCTCACATCGCGCACAGAACAAAAGAGTTTTTAGAGCAAGAAAACATAGAATTATTAGACTATCCGCCGTACAGTCTCGACCTAAGCCCTAATGATTTCTATACTTTCGTTAAAATAAAGAATAAATTGCGTGGACAGAGATTTTCATCACCTGAAGAAGCTGTGGACGCCTACAAAACGGCCATTTTGGAGACCCCAACTTCCGAATGGAATGGTTGCTTCAATGATTGGTTCCATCGTATGGAAAAATGTGTCAAATTTCGCAGAGAATACTTCGAACAGCAATAAATACATTTTTAAATAGTAATGTTGTGTCACTTCCTTGATTCCCGAAATTTTCAATGCCGCCTTCGTACTCTCTTTACTTTTTTGTGTACTGTTTGATCCGAAATCTCCAAGGTATCTTAAGGAACAATTTCACTATCGACATGAATTTCATAACCGCAATTTGCGTTCAGTGTATAGCTTGGCTTTAAATACTCCTTACAACGTAACTTCATTTAATAATAAATCATTTACCTCACTAGCAACGCGACTTTGGAATTCATTACCACTTGACATTTAGAAAGCGCAATCTTTACAGTCTTTTAACCCATTAACGCCAAAATTAAACTACACATGAAAATTATAACCACTCGTTATTTATTGCATGAATATGGACTAAATAAGTGGTACAAAAGTAATTATTAGTTTTTTTTTTTTTGGGAACTGTCGGGGTGTACTTGTCCGGGTACAATGGGCGAATTAGGCATGAAATTGTCCAAAGGATGGTCGTTCCACACATAGTGTTTTGGCACATATCTCACAGCGCCAACGAACGCGGTTGTGGCAAATAACACATCGTAATGGGTTTTCGATGCGTTGCGGGTTATGTCCGTTATTTTTCTGCACAAGGCCAGATATTGTTGATGATGCAGGACGACTTTTCGTCTTAGTTTGGCGAAGGTATGCTATAACAATAGTACGCCGGAATAGCAATTGATCCATGTAGGGCGTGTCAGTAGTTTTGCTGATCAAGACATGCAGACGCCAAGCATTTGAAATCGCCATATCTAAATGGTAGGTAAAGATTACCCACCACCAATTTTTTTCCTTTTATGGCTACTCGATAGAGACTAATCGATTGATCCATCTGATCTACTCCACCCATGCCTCTGTTATAATTGACAAACAATCTTGGAATATATACATCCACTTTTTGTTTCTGTATACTAAACCACCTTTTCACCTTCCCCAGTGGTTCTACAGCGTCAAAATTTGATCCCATCGTGACCACGTTGTTCTCTTTCCACCGCACGATTGTTATTTCATTTTTGGTATCGAAACTATGGTCGTAATCCGCCCTTGGTTTCTTTTTCATTGTTTTTACATCAGCCACAGGACAACTTTTTGTTGTATTTTCTCGTATTGTTCCTGTGGCTCTGTACCCTAAGAGTCGCAAGTCGTGGAGTAACTGATAATTGGTAAAAAAATTATCAAAGTGTACGACATGCTCTTTTGGGACTATCGGCATCTTTGTTAATAGGGATTTTACCACTCTCGAGCCCAGTGGGTCTATCGACACTTCTGTAGATTTTCCAAAATATATGTCGAAAGTGTGGCAGTAGCCATCTGAACTTGTTGCAGCCCAATTCCGGTAGCCAAATCGTACAGGTTTTCCCATTATGTATTGCTTGGCGGGATGACGACCAAAGTATTTTATCATAGATTCATCTATAGATAAGTTTTTTTTATATAAGATCGCACAGCATTTTGAACATTTTATCATTTGAACCTTCCGCTAGGGAATTGTCGACGTAATGTAAGTTTCGTTTGATGTCCGAAAACCTATTGCGTGACATGCAATTGGCGATCAATGGAACGCCGAGATCTTCATCCAAACTCCAATAGGCACGTTCGGAAGGCAGTTCATGATATCCAGTAAAACATAAAATGGCCAGAAAATTTCTCAATTCGGGCTTATCAATTTCAAAACTGTGTCTGTTATGTTACCCAGCATACTTCATGCTATTTTCCACAATCAAACTCATAACATTATCATCAAATATCTTCTCAAATAATATCACAGGGCTGCAGTCTTTCAAAGATTCAACGAGGACTTCTTGTCGTCACTGAATGATACCAGTTACGTCATGGCTGTATAAGGGTAAAGTTTTTCTCCATACAGGCTCGTTAGAATCTCGCCTTCTAGCTCGCTTTGCAGGTCGTGAGTGAGTGGACAATGGCTTGTTATCACTGTCATCCCAGTCCGAAACATCATGATCAGGATGCAGTGGGGCTACCTCAACTGTACCCGGTACGTCTCTCGGGAAAGTTGTAGAAGACAAGTCATCTTCATTACCTTCTTCTTCATCACTAACAATAGCTGGATTTGGTGGCAATAAAAAGACGTCGTACTGCGCATCATCATTTTCATCAGCTACTATAGATTCAAGGGCTTCTTCAAGTCTCGCATAATTAGTTTGACTCGTAAAGACGTGATGGTCAGTCATTGTAGGGTCTTTGAAAACACCTGCAAAATATAAAAATTATTTACACAAGCGTTATTTTACAAGCGCAATTATTTTCCTCCTTTTGTAATATAAATAATAATTTTTACGCCAAACAATGTAATAAACAAAAATACAATTATAATTTCCACACCAAAAAACATTATAAACATATTACAAATACCACCTCTTTATCGATATAAGCTATCGACACATCCCGTTATTATTCCAATCACTGCCGATAATAGATGCAACACTGTAGTTACATAAAAATAAAGCTCAAAATGTCTTGCTGATTGTCGACTGTAGAAACCACTAGAACTGGATAGAAACGCCTTTTGTAAAAAAACGAGACGAAACAGTTTTTAGATAAAAGGAAACGGGGTCAAGAAACTGGTTTTACAACATATAACATATTGAGCGTGTAAAACAAACTTCCCTTCATACTTTATCCAGACTTAGGACTGGTAGAAAAATATTTTGTTTTAAGTGACTTTTTAAATTAGCTGTATTGGATTCATTACATGACATGTTTTACAAAGGGCTTTACCGTCTTGACATCAAAATAATCACAGACATTGTGAAACTATTATACAATTACAATACTTGTCAAATCCAAAGAAGTCTAATTTTTAATATCTAATACACTATATTTACAATTAATAATACTTTACAAAAACACATTTACAAACTCTTTACACTTATATTTTTATTTACCGGCACAATTGTCAAAAAATAATCTTATTTTGAAGTTCGACTGAACGAACCATGTTCATTTAAGAAAAAAATGTTTTTATTTTTACATATATTTGTTAAAAAGTATATATAAGCAAATAAAAAGAAACATCAGCGTAATCATGATAGACCTAAGATATAAATTACAAGGTTACAAGAAATATGTTCACCAGCAGTTTGCTCCGTCTTGCTCTTTATATGCAGTTTGTGAAAGGAGGAAGCGCAATAGACAGAACCCTTGTTCCCTCGTTCGTTCGAGGACAAGTAATAGTAAAACTATTTTTTCATAAAACAGTTTCTGCCACAAACAACTTACTGTTTCGTCCCAATATTTCAATCTCAGTACAAAATCAAATAATTCCGACAAGTGATAATGTCAAATTCCTAGGTGTTGGACTCTAAGATGACAGGCATTCCTCATTTAACTTTTATTGCCCAAAAATACGAAAAGAATGTAAATATCCTTCGCTCACTGACGTGTCTTTGGTGGGGATTTCATCCAAATTGTTTCAAACTTTTACATAACGCTCTAATCTGTAGTTAATTTGACTATGGTACATTTCTCTTGGAACCTTTTAATAAAAAAGCTCTTAAGCTTTTAGATAAAATCCAACTCAAGTGCTTATAAATTATCTTAGGGGCCATGAAATCATCTCCGTCAAATACTCTACAAGTTGAATGTTGCGAACCCCCCTTAATCTACGTAGACAGTTGCAAACCAGTAACATTCATTGCTATGCAGATGACAGCACTGATGATGCTCTTTACACCGGCCGAGGCAATATTTCTCGGGAAAACGTCTCCGAGTGCCGGGACAAACTTGTGTCTGAAGTCGAGTCTTTGCTGAACAAAGTCTCGGATTGGGGGCGACTAAATCTAGTCCAGTTTAACCCCCAGAAGACAAAAGTTTGCGCGTTAACCGCTAAAAAGAACCCCTTTGTCGTATCTCCTCAGTTCCAAGGCACTCCCCTTGTTGCCTCAGCCAGTATCGGAATCCTCGGCGTTGACATATCGAGTGACGTGCAGTTTCGTGGTCACTTGGAAGAGAAAGCTAAATTGGCCTCTAAAAAGCTTGGCGTGCTCAGCAGACAGTATTTCATGCCGGCACACCGCCTGCGACTTTACAAGGCGCAGGTTGGGCCGCACATGGAATACTGTTCCCATCTCTGGGCTGGAGCTCCCCAGTACCAGCTCCTTCCACTTGACCGCATCCAGCACAGAGCGGCTCGAATCGTCGACGACCGAGTGCTTTCCGATCGGCTCGATTCACTGGCACTGCGAAGAGATGTTGCATCTCTTTGCATTTTATTTCGCATATACCATGGAGAGTGCTCTGAGGAATTGTTCGGATTAATCCCAGCCGCCAAATTTCGTGAACGCACTACGCGGCAAACGTCCCGATACCATCCATACCATCTGGATGCTTGGCGGTCCACCACAGTACGTTTCAAAAGGAGTCTTCTTCCGCGTACAACTTCTCTGTGGAATAGTTTACCACCGGCAATTTTTCCGGACCGATACGACCTCGGGACCTTCAAGAAAAGAGCTTTCTCCTTTCTAAAGGGCCGGCAACGTACCTGCAATTCCCCTGGTGTTGCGGTTGATCATGGGCGGCGGTAGTCACTTAACATCAGGTGAGCCGCATGCTCGTTTGCCCCCTCTTCTATATAAAAAAAACAGTATCTTGCCCATCGCTTCATATATAGAATATTTTAAAATTAACAAATGTCATGTTTTTACCGACTCACAGAGTTCATTCAAAGGCATTTCATCTAACCCGTTTCGAAGTACCAACCGAAATCGAAATTCTCAATTATTTTTAAAATAAAAGATGAACTGTATAGATGTTTATATCAAAGTATTAACTTGAAACTTGCTTGGCTGCCAAGTCATAGTGACATATGTCACAATGAAATTGTCGATTCCTTAGCAAAACAAGAATCTACTTCTGGTAACCTCATGCATCATATAACATATACTCATGACCTTATTTCTCTTACGAAAATCCATCAGATGTCAGATTGGAACACTCTTTGGAAAAAATCTATCGGTAAATATTATGCACAACTCCAACCTGATATCCCCCAAACCATGGTTTTTTAAATTCAGAAATGGCTGCAAACATAGTACATCTGTCATATGTAGAATTAGATTGGGAAACACTTGTTCACCTGTATTTTTGGCAAAACTTAAGATTAAAGATAGCTCAATTTGTGAGTGTGGAGTAGACGAAGGTAAAATCGATCATACATTTTTAAGTGCCCTAACCTCTCCGTTTCACTATACAATTTCCTTTCTAATAACATCCCTCGCCCTATAAATCTTAAGTCTTTGTTAAATTAAGTTTACACTCCTTTTGTACAAACTTTATCAGTCTTCATATCCATTAATATCATTAAATTATGGTACTTTTACAGCTTACCTATATCCATTTTATTATTTATTATATTACCAATAATTTTGTAAAACTATTATATGTTAATTCATTCGAAAATAACTACCTATGTAACTTCGTATATCTATCGGTAAATATTATGCAGAACTCCAACCTGTGTGTTTCGGTATAACAAGAGAAGTTTTTAAGAGAAGTTTATAAAAAAGCAAAGTTATAAAATGCCCCATCACTGAGTCACACATTCATTACTGCTCTCGACTAGCCAAAATGAATAGCTCAAGTACGCGCCCTCGATCCATCTAAGTGAAATTCGGCAGTCCGCGCCTGCGCGACGATTTTCTCGCTGCGACCGCACGTTTCAACAAAACAAATCGGGACGACAAACTCAATTTTTCCACTTAGGCATCGGAGGCGATAAGAAGACTCATATCTACATCATGGAGCATCTCTCTCCGAAAAATAAGAGGTTGGACGCTGCTGCGCGAACCAAAGCTCGCGAACTGAAATACAAATTTGTATGGGTGCGTGATGGTAGGATATACATGCGCAAAAATGAAGAATCAAACTACGTCTATATAAAGAACCTCGACCTTTTGAATCGTTTGTCATGATGACGCTATATCTGCTATATTTGTACTAAAAGGCACTTTTACTTGTTACTACCAAAATGTTAGGGACCTGAGGACAAAAGCTATTGAACTGTTTAATAATGTAGTTTGTTGTAATTTTGACATTATTGTTTTCACAGAGACATGGTTGAATGACACAATTTTTGATAATGAATTATTTGATGACCGTTACACGGTCTACAGACGCGACCGCGAAAATATTCCACACACACACAACAACACCAGTTCCATGGTGAAAAAATGGGAGGTGGTGTTCTCATTGCTGTCTCTAATCGCTTTAAATCATGCCGTTTGAGTGCGCAGGAGTCAGATTGTGAAGATTTATGGGTTAAAGTGGAAATATATGATAGCTTTAATAAAGACAGACACCTTTACATCTGTGGCGTATATATCCCTCGTCCAGTAAAAATGCATA